CTGTGTGTGCTGCTCACACCTGGAACTGTGTGTGCTGCTCACACACGTGTGCTGAAATATTTGTCTTCCATAATATAACAGAACTGTAATTAATGAGTATCATATTCTGGATTAGGAATGAAGCTGCAACTCGTACTTACAGGATGCAGAAAAAAAATCTTCATATGTGCAATTGGTGCTGTTCTCTTATGAGGTAGGAGATTGCCAGAATTCATCACCTGGCTCATTCATGTCAGTGTAACTGGTTTACCCAGTATTTCTGGTTTTAGTTCGTATGTGACACTGCTCAGGATAATTTTTAGGAGCTCTCAGAGGTCAAGGGTAACAATAAATCTGATTGTATCCAGCAGACTCAAATGACTTGACATGTTGTCATATGAGGATAACATTTTTTGAGGAAAGTTAAAGATGACTTCATTTTGTGGTGAAAACATCTGATTATTTTTCCATCCTCTCTTCTGTGAGGGAGCCAGGTACCTTTCAGGGTCAGTCTTGAAGAACTTCCATCACACTTGGACACTGAAATAAAAAACAAGCCATAAAAAAAAAGGACAAAATGAAGGCTTCATATGGATAACCTTTCAAAGAAAGTAACATATCTTTTGGGTTCCTAACCCTTAGGCTTCTTCTAAAGATGTTGTTGAAGCATCAAGATACAGAAAATAAAAAGCAGTCATTGATTTTGCTTGTAGTTGACAGTCACTTTTCTATTTTATGGAACCTTTTATAAATCTTGGCTTTTGTTTACATGTTTGGAATGTACAAACAAACAAAACTCCACCTTTTTTTTGGACTGGGAAGGTAAAGAGTGGGACATAAATATACCAGCTGCTTCAGACCCACAGCTCTCACAATGAGCCCACCAAAATTCTTATTTTGTTTCTGTGTGTCAAACATGTCATGAACCCCCAGTGTCACAGAAAGCAACCCTCAGACTTTCTAAACCTCTTGCTACTATAAAAAATCTGCCACTCTAAACAAGTTACTGTATTGTATTTACACTGCGATTCTGAGCAGGCTGTATGGGGGGATATGTTCTACATGAGAATCTGCATCTAAAGTTTCCTTTAACCTCAGTGAAATTTAAGAAGAGATTAATACAAATTCCCCTTATCTGACTAGGAAAGGAAACAAGAAAATATGCATATATCCAGGTACCAACCCAGGGGTCACTCTGAGCTTCCTAAACCAGAACTGCATCATAACTACTGATGCCTTTCTTCCCCTCTTACTCCCCTCTTTTCTTACAAAGAATAGTAAACCCCTCCTATACCTTTTCCTTCAGCAGCCTAAGGCCAGAGCTATTTCCAGGAGGATAAGCCCTCTGGGCATCCAAACAGGGGATGGGGCAGCAATCAGAGCCAAGACAGGAAGGCACTGCTGCCCCTGCATTGGGAACAGCGCTCTCGAAGCTCGACAGGCATCCACTTCAGCCATCTCTAGGTTTTAGCCCATTTATATAGGAAAAAATTTCCAAGTGACTTCAGATTCTCTGGACAGCACTGGTAAGTACAGCAGAACGGAGAGGTTCACAATCTGCAGTACTCATGTATGTATCTTTCTGAATATAATAAGATTAGTGCAATCAAGTGTGATATTTGGGCCTTTGTTATGGGTAAGAACTGAATTACTTTGTAATTACCCTTGTGGCCTCTGTTGATGGTTCAGAAAGCCTCAACCCTGACACAGCAGCTGTGTGTACATACCACAGACAGGCCTTCTGTTATGCTAATTAGCTTTACATTTATTTGTTTGGTCCTGATCTTCTGAGATTCTTCCATATTGTCTGCTGTGTAAAAAGAAACTCTTCTCAGAGTACTAGCCAGTATAACTGAATGTAATATACATTGCTTTCCAGAATTCCCCATAACCTTTTTTTTTCTTAAACTTAGTGTCAGAAAATTCAAAGCTGAAAATTCATTACTTGTAGAAAACAATAAAAATTAAAAAGCCTGAACTTTGATTAGATCCTCATATGACCCTCATATCAAACACTGATCAGTCGGAGTGGATCATAGGGATATGTGGCAAAACTCCTTTAATTTTAACCAGTATGTTCCACGATCTTTGTTCTGACCAAGGATTGTGGATCAGCAGTTTTGTAACACAACTGACGTTTGCTTTCAGCAGGCAAGCCCTCGAGTAGGGACAGAGAAGATGGAGCTGTCTCGATCTGATTTATTATCTCCTCCCCAGCTATAGCCAGACAGTTCACTAGTCAAAACTTGCTGGAACAGACCTTTAGGTTTTGACTGTCAGTCTCCTGCAAGTTCAGGTATCTGTGTATGAGCTGCTCTTCATTGGGCTGTTGTGGCCTTTCAGAGTATTTCTGTTCCCTCTGTCATGTTTGGAACACTGCATACCATCATACCACTGAATAGTGAATATTATCATGTGAAATGATGGCTTAGGAGCCTCTACTTCCATGCTCCTGCCTGTTCTCAATAGCATGATCTCACCTTCCCACTGCTTTTTTTCTACTGTCCAGGAAAAGAGGAAGTTTTACAAAGCAATTCCGAGGCACACACTGATTACAGGACCTGCCTGTGGCACACTAAGTGCCAGTCCCTGCGGAAGGGAACCAGTAACACAGACATGCTAACACAGAAACTGGAGAAAACCTTGTCTAACTGAAATTAGAGGGGAGAATTTAGGTAGGAAATGTAATTATTATAATGGAATTTGATGACACCCGGATTGAAATTCCATCATATGGAATCAGGGATTTTTGATGACTGCAGGCAAGAAAAACCTCGGGTTTGCCTCTTCCAAAGAGTTGGCACTTTCATCAGGCTGATCCAATGTTATCAGAAAGACTTTTTAAACTAAAATTTACATGCAAATAGAAACCTAAAATAGTTGATTTTTTTTTCATTAAAATACAAATTGGAAAAAAATAAGTCTGTGTAATTCTATCAAAGCCATTGTTTAAAACTGTAGAAGTCTCCTATCGGTTATTTTTTACTTTACTCTTACATAAAGTAGGTTAGAACAGTGGTTTTTAGGAAAATGTTGTACTTAAAAATTAATTTTCACTAAGATTCTGTTATGCCGCTAGGAAGAATCGATTTGCTTTAATAGAGCTCAACACTTAAGGTAGAAGAAATTTATATATTTATTGTGTATATATTTGTTGTGTATTACAAGAAAAGAGCCACTGACTGGTCTCCCAGCCTCCCTTTTTACATCTGGACACCTCATGAAAGTTCCCCTTTCACTGAGCAGATTGCTTCATGACTGAAAACTGCTTTAATACCAGTCACTGAGACTGTTTTTCCCTCCAGAAAATTACTGTTATATTAAAACCCTCCTACAGTTATATCAAAAATTGACTTGGACGTTTACAGTAAAAATTATAATAACGTGGGATGGGAGGGGTGGAGCTACCACCGTGCTGACAGAGTTCATCCTGGTCTTAAATTGCTGTGAAACTGGTCCCTGACTGAGCTACCTCAGAGGCCCAGAGCTGACCCAAGGTAAAACATCATCTGGGGAAGACAGGGATCTCAATCAGTGCCTTGTAAAAAACTGAGTCATACACTTTATACAGCACAGTTAATATCATATAAAAGATAGTCAACATATGAAAGACTGAATATATATTAATAATGTAAAAATCTAATTATTAAATTAATTATAAGGGCCTTCTAATTGTTGCCACTGTTTATGTTTAAATATGTAAACTTGGTGGTCTAATGTTTTGCTATATTAACTTGAAAATTTAATATAAAGGACTTCAGGTTTACACAGAATTTTTGGGTTCTGAAAAACAAATGATGCCCAACCATTTTGTGGTGATAGACAGATATAAATGAATACGACTCAGCTTTTTTCCACTAGTTTTTTTTCCACTAAATATCAAGAAAAGAAAAGTCAGCAGCATATGTGCTAGTTCACATGTAAAAACGTGATCATCACAGCAAGAAAGGAAAGCTGCATTTAAAGTATCTACTTAATAATTCCTCTCTCAATCTAAAACTTTAAACTCCAAAGAGCTCCAACCATTTTGTCTGGTTAGGATTCCGAGAAAAAATTTTTCAGCTGATTCTCTTAATTTGCAGCCTAAATTGACACAAAGCCTTGATTGCACCCCCGGCTAAAACTGAAGCCCTTCCCACCAGTAATGAACGACTCGCTGCGTGTTTTCACTCCCCCCTGAACTCCCCCAACCCTGCCCTGAGGGAGAACAGCTCCCCACCTGTCAGCACGCAGATATCTTTGGTATGTCAGTCACAGTCGCTGCAAAGCTTGGATCCCACCAACACAAAGACTGAGCTTTCCTATGACTTGGAGGCACATTTTCAAGAGGTCAAAACAATGGACCAAAGGGAGACTCTGAAACTAGGAAACCAAATTTACACTTCTACCATGGAAGTAGAAATACATGGAACCTCTAAAAGTAGAAATTCCTTGGAAAATACATGGAAACCCCTAAAAAATTAGGGCAACAGAAGAGTTCACCCACCAGAACTTTGTGGTCTAGGGAAAAAAAACCCAGCTTGTGTACTTTTTTTTACTTGGCAATGTTAAAATTCCCTTTCTCACCTTTTTTTTCTTATTTACCATTTATCCCCAGCATAACTGAAGGTCATCTCCATTCTCCTTCCTTTCCTCCCCAGTAAGGAGGAGGGGGTGAGCAGTGTGGGAAAATGATGCATGCTGTGACTGCAAGCATTATGCTGTTCTTAGGATAATATAGGAATCCTGTCTCCCAGCCGTGGCAAAGATTGATTAGGGTATAATGCAACCTTCACTATCAAAACAACTAGCTTTATCATACATATTTTTGACCCTACTCTGAAGACCTACAGAAGAAAGTGATTTTAAAAGGTGCAAAAATACATTCTTAAAGGCTGAATCTGTCTACAGAGGAAATATGACATAATCTGTAATAGTCCAGGCTAGATTTAATTTCCACATCCCTTAAGCTTCATCTCTCTGCTGATGCTGAAAATCAAAGGGCCAGTTCAGACAGATTTTTTTTCAGCAAGAACACTGAAGGGTGAGCAATATCTATGAAAATTTTTAGAGACACACCAGATTGTAATCTACCCTGTATTTTAAAAGTGAACTAGTATCTAATTAGAGAAAGTTTTTCACTAGCAATGATTTGTTCTTATGCTTCTCGTCTTTCAAACTGGTGAAGTGCTATTTGTGATGATGATGATGAAGCACTTACTTAAACTTGTGAATGGAATTGAGACCACTTTGGAGAGCAGTGAAAAGAAAGAATCTGTAGAACTGCACCTGAAAACGTGTACTGTCTACTTGCAAGTGTACCAAGAAAACAAACAGAATGTGTCTGTAAGAAAACCATGCAAGTAGTGTCCCAGTTCTGCCTCCTTTACCAAAATGACCTGATCGATCATCTCGATGTCAGTTTAGCAGTTACCTTTATGACTGGCCACTCCTGACGTGTCTGCTGCTCTCTAGTGGCTTCCACAGAAACAATAATGCACATTGAAAATCCGTGAAAAACAAAAATCTACTTTTCAAATGCTTGAAGGAAGAGATTGTCT